GACTCTCACTGGGGCACAGTCCCACACACACACACTGACTCTCACTGGGGTACAGGGTCCCACACACACACTGATTGTCACTGGGGTACAGTCCCACACACACACTGACTCTCACTGGGGTACAGTCCCACACACACACTGACTCTCACTGGGGTACAGTCCCACACACTCTGACTCTCACTGGGGTACAGTCCCACAGACACTGACTCTCACTGGGGTACAATTGAACATACACACTGAGTCTCACGTACATAAATGTTTGAGTATACACATGGTATAAACAGTAAGAGATTGGAGGGTGAAGTGTCTGTGACAGTTTATAAGAGTGCTGTATGATACCATTCCACTGAGTTTTACTCCAGGAGCTTTCTTCCTGTTTTTTTTTCTTTATTTCAAAGTTATGAATTCAGGTAGACAACAATGTTCTGGAAAGTGCATCTGTAAGGATTAGCTGGCCCTGGCCCTCACAGTCTGTGATCCACGCTGAATCATGTAGCTCTTAAATTAAAAAAAAAGTGTCAAATGTTCTCTCTGGCTTTTAAATTAAAAAAACCCACCAGGTGAGTGCCAGAATTGAAGTTATTCCACAGGTAAAGGTCAGGCAGCACTGCCCAGAGTCTGATCCCAACTATCACGCAGTCTTTGAGTAGCCGAATATTCCTACAGGGAAGTACTTCACATGAGTGGGCCATTGTGCAGCCAGCTGAAAGAACTTGACATCATTCCATTCGACTCCATCGATGGAGACTAGAAGACAGGACACAACATGAAGCACAGAGAGACTGCTCCCCCTTTCGTCACATTAGCCTTCCCTCACCCTCATCATCCACTGGGCCCTTCATGTCATCAAACATCTTCTGGCATTTATCAGTAAAACCAGACTGAGGCCCATATCCAGCAGGTCAGCTAAACCGTGGGTGACAGACAAGTCTCTGGAGGGGCCGGAGTGGAAGAGAGACATGGACATTTCAGGAAGGGATGGGTTAGATGCAGGAACTGAGGGGAGTATGGAGACCTCGGAGTGCTGTAGTGACGGAGCTGCATAGATGTATAACCAGGTCAGCGTCACAGCAGACAGTAGCAGCTGGAGATTTGTATACTGCACGCTCCCTCCAGCAAGGCTGAGCAGCAGCTCCTATAGGTCAGAGCGTGACCCTGAGGGACAGTCGCAGCATGGAGGGGAGAGGGTGATGGGAGAGATAAAGACTTTCTCTGGTCAGGAGGTCTGTTTCCACAGGGTGAGGAATAATGAGATAACACAGTGTGGAGCTGGAGGAACACAGCAGGCCAGGCAGCATCGGAGGAGCAGGAAAGCTGACATTTCGGGTCGGGACCCTTGTTCAGAACCTCAGAAACGTCAACTTTCCTGCTCCTCTGATGCTGCCTGACCTTCTGCGCTTCTCCAGCTCCACACACTGTTATCTCAGACTCCAGCATTGGCAGTTCTTACTATCTATGAGGAATTATGAACCCTCTTCTACTTTATGGTTGTATCATTTTGTAAGGATTTCTCTGTAGGATGGAAGAGGATGCCTTCCCAATCGAGTAAACTCTTTTATATTAGTATTAACTCCTGTGCCCTCAGCTCTGGAGTCTGGGAGCTGGAACAGAAGCTGCCTGAGGACTTTGATCGATAGAAGGTTTTCTGTTTGAGCATAGATTATTCTGACAATGGTTGCTAGCTGTCATGGTGCACCTGCTCTCTTGTTGGCAAAGATTTCTCACAACTCTGGATGGGCTGCTCCTCTGAGGCTGCTTGGCCTGCTGTGTTCATCCAGCTCTACACCTTGTTATCTCAGTCAACTCTTTCTCCTTGTTTTCTCTTTAGGATAAGCAGGCCCTGTTATCATACTCTTGAGCACTAGATGGCAGCAACAGTACAGCACAGCAACAGCCAAGGCATTCAGTCCATTTGGAGATAGCAGGAACTGCAGATGCTGGAGTCAGAGATAACACAGTGTGGAGCTGGAAGAACACAGCAGGCCAGGAAGCATCAGAGGAGCAGGAAATTCCATCTGTGTATGTGGGCCAGGAACAGAAAGCCCTAGCCCCTGACCTGAGCACAGCAGGCTAAATACTGCCAGCTTAGGGCCTTGATGTATCCCTTGTCCAGGCTCTACGAAGTCACAGTGATCAGGAAGGAACCAAAGACTCCCTATTCCACAGTGAATTTTTTCCTGATTGTCATCGTCATCATCATTCCAGCCATGAGGCCAGTCCATGGAAGTTAATTCTTCAAAACATTCACCCTAAATTTATTTTATATGGTCTCTGTGCATCTGTCCAGCACTGTATACAGTATTCAGGGTGGGTTATATGGGTTAAACTGTGCTGGTTTCACTGTGCTCACTGTCCTATGTACTGTACAGTATTTAACCAGAGGGCAGCAAGCTGATCTTAATGACTAGTTTCTTACCTTTGAGCATGGTCTGCTGATGTTTAGCAGTACAGATTAATCTGCTGATTCCTTCAATAACTTGGCTCTTAGAGTCCAGCTCTTTCTCCCTTGGTTTCTTACTTAAAAACATCACTAGAAAGGGAGAGAAAAATAACACTCACTCACACACACGCACATTTCACTCAGTAAGAGACATGTCTCCCTGTCAGACTCCTCTCCCTTGGTCCTGATGTGGTATAGGTGCCCTCACACACACAATTCCAGGGAAGAGTGAGAGGAGACAGTTTTGTAACATGCAGGCGTGAATCATTACCCGATAAAAAGATGAGACAATAGGCTTGTTAACGAAAATCAATGTCTCTCTGGACATGTGCTGTGTACAAACATGGCAATTAGCAAAAGGAGCAATTCTGCATCTCATCCATTAGACCGCTGGGAGGTACAACAGCCAAAATATTTAAGGACAATACTGTGGGAATCTTATTGTGCTGTAATTTAAATTAAGAAATAAAAACATCTATTTGTGTGACAATATTCACCCGTGCAGCATGTCCTGTAGTGTATTACAGCCAGTGAAGTCCATGAAAAGGACAGTCACTGTTGCTATGTAGAGATGCAGCAGCTAACTTGCTCCCAGAAACAGCAACGAGCAGCAAACTGGTTTCAGTAAAGCTGATTAATGAATACATACTGGTCCCCAGAAGAATCTCTGACAATACTGCCCTGCCATGGGATCTCCTGAGACAGCAAACACCACAGCCAGACAGAGAGACATTGATAGCACAGTGCAGCCCAAAACAGGGCTGTGGAAACTTTTCATTCTGATCCCCTTTAAACTGTGAAGAACACCCAGGCAGACAGCTTTAATCCTGGGTTTCCAAACCTTGGCAGGGCCCAGGTGGACATAGTTCTGGCCTTTGCCCTCTATCCCTGGTTTCAATCACTCTATCATCAGAGGGAAATGTGGGCCCTAAAATCTGGAATTCCTTCCTGGAAAGTCAGTTCTCTCCCAGAGCACCAACCAAATCTCTGGTGTGAGACTTGAACCCATAAGTTCCTGATTCCAAGGGGACAGTGGTCCTCACTAAAGCCACTTCTGAACACACAAGGAGGATAATTAGTTCACTGCTTGTGGCATAAACCCAATAGGAGGTGAGACGGGAGCACTGAATGGCCAGTGGGGCAGACCTATGGAACTTGGTGTTAAATCCAGTGTAAGGTGGGGGGTTAGTATATAGCCTCAGTCTCCTGGATTTATGCTGCACCAAATCTGATTCTACTGGGTGAAAGATCACAGCTCAACAAGTATAATTTAGACAGTTTGCTGTAGGAAGTGGAACCATGTCAGACTGGTGTGTGGCTGGAGTTATTACTCTGAGATTAGATGGATTTCACCTGGGCAGCTAAGAGCAGAAGGGATTTGGTCCTGCTGCGTCACCTTGATAAGCTCAACATTTTCCATTCGACAGTAACAGGCAGTGGTCTCAGTGTGTTCCATATCTGCCCTCATGCAGTTCTGTCTCTGTCCCTCTAACAAGTCACCCCACTGGAACCGGACTGCCATTGGCCTCACTCTACTCTCACCTTTCTTATTCTTCTCCTTGGTTACCACCGTCATCAGCATGGTAGCTGGTGGTACCATCTCTCCACCATTAGGTAGCCGGGTCACTTGTAGGGACCGGAAGTTGCTCTTCAGGGTGTTCTTGTTGCCAATGTCCCGTTTATCACCATCTCTTTTCTTATCGGGCAGCTGTGTTGTCCAGTAATCAACCTGCAGGCCCATCACTTCAACTCCAGTCCCTGGCGAGCTGGAAATGGAACCAAGGAGAGGGAGAGATTCTGTAAGAGGCAGTGTGCTGATTTTCACAGACTGAAAGCACTCACACTTCACTCAGCCGCAGCTCAGGTTACCCTGCCTGCTAGGCCCTATGCTGCTGTCATACCTGGTGGACAAGGGATCCACCAAAATGCCCACCACATTCACAGAAAATGGTATAGAGAGAGGCCATTCAGCTCATTGTGTCTGCACCACCTCTCTGAGTATTTTGCTTTAGTGCCAATCTCCTGCCTTTTCCCCATCCAGTGCACATTCTTTCTATTTAAATAACCAACCAATATCCTCTTGAAGCCGCAATTGGACCTGCCTCCACCAAATTTCCAGGCAGTACATTCCATATCCTAACAACTCATTCTGAAAAAGTTTTGTTTGCCCTCTTACTTACTTCTTATGCAAAACACTTTAAAATTGTGCCCTCTGATTCATGATCCTTATATGAACAAAACCAGTTTCTTCCTTTCTACCTTGTCCAAACCTTTCATGATTTTGAAAACTACAATCAAATCTCTTTTCAGCTTTCTCCTCTGTAAGGAGAACAGTCTCAACTTCTCCAATTTATCCTCATCACTGAAGTTTCTTGTTGCTAGACCCATTCTTGTAAAATGCTTCTGCACTCCATCCAATGAGTTCACACCCTTCCTGAAGTGTCACTGGCTGGATCTGCATTTAATGCCCATCCCTAGTTGCTGTTAAGAAGGTGGTAATGAGCTGCGAAAGGGCCTCTTTCATGCTGTAGATACCAGTGCTGTAACTGTACTGGGAGCGGCATGTTCTAGAGCACAAGTCTTCAGTATTATTGCCGGAATGTTGTCAGGGCCCGTAGCCTTTGCAGTATCCAGTGCCTTCAACCGTTTCTTGATATCCCGTGGAGTGAATCGAATTGGCTGAAGACTGGTATCTGTGATGCTGTTCCCTAACTGAAATCCCCTCTCCCTGAACACGGGTCGTGATCAAAGCAGCTGCTGCCAACCCATCACAGTCTGAGGGATGAGCTATCGGCTCAGTACCAAACTGGGAAATGGCGAGACATCAGCGAAGCAATTCATTGTATGAATCCTTACCAAGCTCCAGACAAGACTCCTGAGACAGATGGAGAAGGTGGTGGGGTGGCATTCATATCCTTTGTGTAGGCTGTGCTGCTAGACGTTGGTGTTGGAGACAAGATACCAACATTACACAAAGTGGCATCATCCGAGTCCACTGAAAAACAGAACCCAGCTGTTATTAAAAAGCTCATTGTGTTTAATCTGCAATAGGCAGCAGTCAGGACTCAGAACATGTTTCACCAAGCAACTGGCTCATCCTCCAGCTCCGTGTACACTCTCCCTCCCATCACTGACTCTACCCGCAGCCCCATGTACACTCTCCCCCCATCACTGACTCTACCCACAGCCCCGTGTACA